AAGGATATTCTCCATGATAGGTTCCTTGACTTACCAGTTTCTTTTGGTCCTGTGCCTTGGGTTGTGGAACTTACATGGACTCTATTCTTAGTTTGGTTCAAGGTAAAGTTTAGTTTTCTGTTTGTAAGACTAGAAATATGCCTGTAGTCAATGAACTATTCAACTTAAAACATATTTTGTTGTTAGCTCTTTTTTGGTTTTGTTGTTCAAAATCTTGGGACCTGTTACATGAATCATAGAATTATAGCACTGGAAGGGACCTTGAGAGGTCATCTAATCCAGTCCCCTGCACTCATGGCAGGACTAAGTATTATTTAGACCATCCCTGACAAGTGTTTGGAGATTTTTAAGAGCAAGTTAAACAATAATGGAGATTCTGCAACCTCCCTAGGCAATTTATTCCAGTGCTTAACCACCCTGAAAAGTTAGGAAATTTTTCCTAATGTCCAACCTAAACCTCCTTTGCTGCAATTTAAGCCTATTGCTTCTTGTCCTATCCGCAGAGGTTAAGAAGAACAATTCTTCTCTCTCTTCCTTGTAACAACCTTTTATATACTTGAAAATTGTTAGCATGTCCCCTCTCGGTCTTCTCTTTTCCAGGCTAAACAAACCCAATTTTTTCAATCTTCCCTCGTCAGTCATGTTTTCTAGACCGTTAATCATTTTTGTTGCTCTTCTCTGGACTTTCTCCAATTTGTCCACATCTTTCCTGAAATGTGGCACCAGAACTGGATACAATACTCCAGTTGAGGCCTAATCAGTGTGGAGTTGAGTGGAAGAATTGCTTCTCGTTTCTTGCTTACAGCACTCCTGCTAATACATCCTAGAATGGTGTTTGCTTTTTTTGCAACAGTGTTACACTGTTTGATTCATATTTAGCTTGTGGTCCACTATGACCCCCAGATCCCTTTCCGCAGTTCTCCTTCCTAGGCAGTCATTTCCCATTTTGTATGTGTGCAACTGATCGTTCCTTTCTAAGTGGAGTACTTTGCATTTGTCCTTATTGAATTTCATCTTATTTACTTCAGAAAATTTCTCCAGTTTGTCCAGATCACTTTGAATTTTAATGCTATTCTCCAAAGCAGTTGCAACCCCTCCCAGCTTGGTTTTGTCCACAAACTTTATAAGTGTACTCTCTATGCCATTATCTAAATAATTGATGAAGATATTGAACAGAAGTGGACCCAGAACTGATCCCTGTGGGACCCCACTTGTTTTGCCCTTTCAGCATGACTGTAAACCACTGATAACTACTCTCTGGGAATGGTTTTCCAGCCAGTTATGCACCCACATTATAGTAGTTCCATCTAGGTTGTATTTCCCTAGTTTGTTTATGAGAACGTCATGCGAGACAGTATCAAAAGCTTTACTAAAGTTAAGATATACCACGTCTACCGCTTCCCCCCACCACCACCACCACCATCCACAAGGCTTGTAGAAGAGTGCTCTAGAAGCGATGTCCGTCTAGGTTGATATTATGGATTTTCAAGACACTGACACTGTACTATCATGTTTGCCTTCCTAACCTAAATATGCCATCGTAAGATCATGTGAAGCCAGCAACATGTTCACATGAAAGTGTGTATGTATAACAGAATTGAGTTTCAACGCTAGAAAAATGTAGTTTAAGATCAATTTATAGCAATAGGAGATTTGGTCATAATAGTATAATATTCATATGCAATTTAAATGGGTTCTGTTACAATTTAACAGACCCCAAAATAATATACCCCAAGCTCATAGTTTTATGAATTAACATACCTTATTTTATTAATATTCATATTTTATGAACATACCTTTTTTTAAAAAGTACATTTAATTGGAATTTCCATACTGATCACATTACAAAGAAGCATTACAACAACATACAAAAAAATTCCTCCACTTCCAGGTCATCCATCCAAAACAAATACTGTGCACTGAAAATGTCAGTGCAATCATGCAAGCTGCTCATTTGCAAGTACACATAATGCAAACATAAGTATTCATGCACAGCTATTGTGGCAAATATAGAAAGGCTTAGAGGCATACTTGAAATAAAGCAGGGCAGTTTGTATACAGAACTCTGGCTGCTGAAGGAATGATACTGGGCCCACGAGGGAAGCAGCAGCAGGAAAGGTTCAAATCTGAGTTGAGTCACAATTCCTGGGAATTTAGGAGATGGGCATTTGGCTAGAATCTAGTGTTTGGGTTTAGGAGGGTAGAATGAAACAGAACTTGGGAGAGGGAAATTGGGCTGGTGCTGTATTTCACTGGGGGTAAGAAGAAGCAGCAGGGGGACAAGAATTGTAACAGGGATTTGACATGTGTAACTACTTGTTTATAGCTTCCAAGTTGTTAGTATTAACAAAAGAAAATACATGATTTAGAAACTGATTGAACCTTTGCGAGTATCCTTTCATTAATACTTGGTCACTTGAGCCTGTATTACCTTTTTTCCACTTCCTTAGCATTTGATTATCCAAAAGTAGTGTACCTCCTTCAAATTTTAACTGTGGGCAAGGACCAATATATTATGTTATCTGCTTTGTATTTGACATGCTTCTAATGTTTCAGGATAATGCTACAGTTTATGGCAAGTGGACTGTGTGTTGCTGTTACATACCATGCATATAATCTGGCCTACATCATTAAAGAGATGTCATATAAACTCTGTATTGTGGTTCCAACAAAGTAAATTAATAACAACACATATCGGATAATGGTGATAACTCTGCAGACTACATACAGGCCTAACTCTGAACACAGTCCAAGTTTATAAATTGACTTCTATATGCAGTGTTTCACGAAGTGCCAGATGCAAGAAACTGCTGCACATCTGGTTGCTTTTAATAGACTTTTGGAACAGAGAGTAGTCATTAAAATATATATATTTTGAAAAGGTATTGCAGTATATGCTAGATAATGACACATCTCAAATGGAAGGCTGTTTCCCAATTCTCTACATATATATTGTATTGTGTGCACTTAGCTAAGGGTGGTGTTTTCATTTCTAAGGAGTGAATTTTAAAAATATCATTATGTAAGAAAGTTTGTCTTCTTACTCGGATTAACTTCGCACACAGACCTATGCACTAAAGAGAAAACGCATAAACCCTGGTATGATGAAATACATCTCTGGAGTATTAATAACAGTTTCTCCAGATTTCCTACCAGAACATATAGTGCTATTTATGTCTCAGTGTTTAAATGTGTATGGCTTGATTTAAGAAGAGGCTTAATTCTTCATTCTGTCGTATCCATTTATTTGTCCTTCCTCAGATTAACGCTGTTAAGAGATTGATGTCAGCATTCAGAGATTTCCATTTCAAAAGTACCACCTCTAGAACTGTTTAACTCTTTGAATTTTGCAGAAGCTTTCCTCCTCTTTAATATAAAATATTTTTCATTCTTTCATAATTGTCTGTAATACATGGAAACCTAAATATGCAGTAGCCAGGGCCTGCTCCAGGGTTTTGGCCGCCCCAAGCAGCCAACCAAAAAAAAAAAAAAAAGACCGCGATCGCGATCTGAGGCGGCAATTCAGCGGGAGGTCCTTCGCTCCAAGCAGGAGTGAGGGACCATCCGCCGAACAGCTGGACGTGCCGCCCCTCTCCGAAGTGGCCGCCCCAAGCACCTGCTTGGTAAGCTGGTGCCTGGAGCCGGCCCTGGCAGTAGCTAATTGTGCTGCTAAATGAACATCTAACAATAAGATTTGACTTACTATCCCAGACTCCTTAGCCAATTAAACTTCTAGTGCTGTCAGCTGAAAACTATTAGATTCCCCTGGGGCAGTTTGCCGGAAGTTCTAGAGAACCATATGGGAAAGCCCTGTAGACGTATTCTGCTGCATCTCTAATGATGAATGCTGACAGTTTGTGCAAGTTCCCACAATTTTCTGCTATAGCAATTCAAGGCTCCTAGGTTTTTGAGGAGGGGTTGGACTAGAAAAGAATGAGGTTGTTGAAGAGGGGTAAGAGGTGATTTTGGTTAATTTTAAATGACTGGGCAAGAAGGACTTCATTTCTGAGTTGTAAATTTTTTTATAGTAAATATACTAGGAGCACTGAATGGATGCTTCATTTAAAATAAAACAAAATTTAATCACTTACATTGAGTCTCACTTAGTTGAATCCACTTAGTGATTATTAAAGAGAGTACTAGCTGCAGCACTTCCAGCTTCTTTTGCAGTCCAGGAAAAATGAACTACTTCAGTTTTAGGGGAAGCTACCTACCTTCTGAAGCAGAGTGAATGTAATTAATAGGAATTAGCAGTACAGTTCCCAGCTGTTTCACCACAAAAACATTAAAAGGTGGAATATGAACAATACATAACAGGAGAATTTTTTTCCTAAACATTTCAGCTTTGCGGCATGCTCTTGGATCTTATCCAAAAGTGCTTAGCATTCTATTAAGATGATGTGGTGATTGTGAGGACTTTTCAAAATGGACAGAAAAAAATATGTAATAGAAATTGTATATGCAATGTATATATATCACATATGGGAAGAAATAAAGAGGGGACAATATAGTAATTTTCTATAGTATGTGATTAAAAAGTCATACCATTAGGAAATTAAAAATCCTATGTAAAATAGATCTCTTGTCAAAGGAATGACATGTACACTTTGTGTTGCGATAGCTAAAAATTTTGTCCCAGTTGTACATGACGTACAAAACAGAACAAATAAAGTGTAATGGAGGTTTCCACCAGGTTCTACAGAATCTACAAAATTTTTCTGCATGATTTTGGAGGAGAATACAACTTTTTTTATTGGCCTTTTTTGTATTGGTAGTTCTGAAATGAAAGATTCTCTGCAGTGGTATGAAAATGTTTGTAATATTGTCAATTCTTCTCCTCATCCCTACCCCACTGTGATTTTCTTCATTAGCCATTGCACAATAATTGTATGGGTGTGCAAAAAGCTTACCCTTTATTTCATAAACTATATGTAGCAATGAGTAATAGTAAACCTTTTACATGTTGTATTTATTTCCTTTTCTGTCTGTTTACTTCACAGGTCCTTGACCAGTATGAGCGAGAGGGGTTTAATTTCCTTGCAAAAGTTTTTAATTCCTCACATTCCTTCTTAGAAGACCTAACAGGTCTGACTTTATTACATCAGGAAACTCAAGATGCTGAGGTAAGAAAATACACTTCAGACTTTAGAGACTAAACACATAATGGCAAAAGGTACCTCGTCCTTAATATTCAGCTTTATAAATATAGGAGCAAATGATTCACTGTTAGAATTGATCATTGACATTTTGTTTATAAAATTATTTGTGTGTGTCACACTGTGCAGTGAGATAACAATATAACATCTTAGAGTTACAGGGTCATAAATATTACTGGAAGAGTGAGGTAACCAGTTCTTCTAAGAGCATAAGACCTACAGTACAGTATATATGTTCACAGCCAATTAGACTTCTGTTAGAGGAAAAATAACCACATTTCTCTGAGTTTTGGGGGAAGTTAATTGTAAGAAAAAGTAACTGTCTAGTGAGTAGTGTCAGTGTGAGATCCTTCCTAAAGAAATCAGGTGTCTTTTAGGTCAATCCAAAGTTAATTTCTATTTTGTTATGGGAGATGTGGAAAATGTGCCACTACCCATCATAGTGACAAAGAAAAAATGAGACACTTTCTGGCTTACTGGAAAATGCAGTGGATAAAGATATATAAAATCTTGACTGTGTGCCATTTAAAATCAGACAGATAAAAGTTCTGAACAGTGTTTTGTTTTGATGATTTGTGACCCTTTTGAAGCCTATAAATGTCTATATTGTTGTACATCTATAATTAATCTTGCAGTATGGTATAGTAATGTTTTTATCCATGAATGCTTTTAAAGTTGGCTTTAAGAAGTGATTATTCAGTTATTGTAGCCTGCATAAAAGGTTTTAGCTGTTTTTTCAGCTGGAAATGTCTCATCAGTTTTGCTTAACAAGTTTGCTGGGATAATGATGACTTGGCTCTTGGTCTCATGTTTTAACCTTTTAAAATAATTGCAACAGATACTGGAGACAAGAAACCATGTAATACCTGATGGTTTATTAAATCAGATTGTTAACCCCCCAGAAATCATTACTTGCAATGATAGGATCCAACAATGAAACAAGTACTATACAGTTTTTCAGATGCTACTTATTAGCACAATAGTGGTGATGCCTTGGTCTAATTGCCATACATCAGTGACTTTTTCAGTTTGCTTATAAGACTGTGTTGTTCTAATGACATAATTAAAGGGAATAATATTTGAACTGATTTATAATGTATCCTTTCACATTTATTAGTTCATGAGTATTATCTGCAAGTTTCAGAATGCATTCAGGTGTTTCCACTTGTCAATTTGTGGATATTCTATTATCTACAAAAATATATAGAGTGGTACAGATTATTTTGAAGTTGAGGCAGTTTACAACTTCATACATCTATAGCTACAATAATTTTCACTTAAATTGGGTGATTATTATAAAAGCAGAAAGTATCTGATTAAAATGTATGGGCAGCAGAGTAGATTATATGCATAAATATTTAATAATGTGGAGCATAACATGAACTGTAACACACAGGTTTTAAAAACTGTTTTTTGTTATTGCATTTCAGAATAATTACATAATATCAATATTTTCTGGCATAAAGAACTAATAGCTTCTTCCAGCAGAATGATTAATCCAAAAACTGTGATAGTATATTACATTGTATGCAATAATTAAAGTAGTATTAATAATTTTTTATTTCAGTTAGTGAACTTTAAAAAGTCTCCTCTGTGCCTAATGTTGGCATGAAATATACAATTGTCTTACACAATTTAAAACAAACAGACCCTTCTTTATTTGAGGGAAAAATCAAAAAACTGATTAAAAAAAATATTATTTGCGTACATTTCTCTTCTAAGCAAAAAGAGGGACTCAGCATAGGCCACACCCTTAATTCTTACTTTGGACTGTTGCCTGGTATTTTGAATTCTTAAAAAATTCCCTTATAGGTGAGATTTTTTTAAAGTGTTATTTTACATTGATTGTTTCTATTTATCACATGATACTATCCGATATTGAGCTCAGTTTAATCCTATTAATCTCATGAAGCCCTGGTGTACACTTCGAGATTAGGTCGAATTTAGCAGTGTTAGGTTGATTTAACCCTGCACCCGTCCACACGACCAAGCCTGTTTTGTCGACTTAAAGGGCTCTTAAAATTGATTTCTATATTCCTCCCCGGCGAGGGGTTTAGCGCTAAAATTGACCTTGCTGGGTCAAATTTGGGGTAGTGTGGACACAATTCGACGGTATTGGCCTCCAGGAGCTATCCCAGAGTGCTCCATTGTGACCGCTCTGGACAGCATCTCAACTCAGATGCGCTGGCCAGGTAGACAGGAAAAGCCCCAGGAACTTTTGAATTTCGTTTCCTGTTTGGCCAGCGTGGCGAGCTGATTAGCACAGGTGACCATGGAGTCCCAGAATCGTAAAAGAGCTCCAGCATGGCCCGAACGGGAGGTACTGGATCTGATCACTGTTTGGGGAGAAGAATCCGTGCAGGCAGAACTCCGTTCCAAAAGACGAAATGCAAATATATTTGCCAAAATCTCCAAGGGCGTGATGGACAGAGGCTACAACAGGGACACACAGCAGTGCCGCATGAAAGTTAAGGACCTGAAGCAAGCCTACCAAAAAACAAAGGATGCAAACAGTCGCTCCGGGTCAGAGCCCCATACATGCCAGTTTTAGGATGAGCTGCATGCAATTATGGGGGTGGCCCCTATCACTACCCCACCACTGTCTATGGACACCTGCAAGGGAAGAGTCTCACGCAACAGGGATGAGGAGTTTGAAGATGAGGAGGTGGTTGAGGATAGCATAATGCACAGCAGGCAAGTGGAGAATCCCTTCTTCCCGGCAGCCAGGAACTGTTCATCACCCTGGAGCCAATACCCTCCCAACCCTCCCAAGGCGGGCTCCCAGACCATGAAGCTGGAGAGGGAACTTCTGGTGAGTGTACCTTTGAAAATATAATACAGGGTTTAAAAGCAAGGGTGTTTAATGATTAGTTTACCATGCCAGGCCAGTAGTAAGTAGTCTGGAATCATTGCAGAACAAAACCTTGCAGCAGATGGGTCCGGGTTTTGGCTATTTGCCTTTGGCTGAAAATAAATCATCCCTGCTGTTAGCCACGCGGTGGGGGGAGTCCCGTTCATGGCTGACCGGGATCTTCCCTGATACTAGCCACGTGGGGGTTGGGCGATCATCCCAGAGAATTGGGTGGGGGAGGGATTGGATTGTGCTGCACATTCACCCTAAAACCGCAGCCCCTCCTTTTAAATGGCCAACCCAACGGGCTTTGCTTGGTATGGGAAAGGAGGGTGCTGCTGTTTGAAACCATTCCCACATGTTATGAAGGTTGAAGAAGCCGAAACCCTTTGCCTTACCATTGCTGCCTGCAAGCCAAATTCTATTGCCCAGCCGAGCGTGTGTGATGTCACACACCAAACCGGCAGGCACTCAATATAAGAGGCAAAATGCGACCTTGTAGCAAAAGCACATATGCTATGTAATGTGAATCACTTGATTCAGTGTGAAATAGTCTTCCCTTTGTTCTCTAAAATGTATCTTTTAAAATACTACTCTCCCTTTTTTTCCCCCCGCAGCCGCAAATGTTTCTACACTCCCCCTATCATCTCCATCCCAGAGACTAGCGCAGATTAGAAGGCAAAAAACCCACACTCGTGAAGAGATGTTCTCAGAGCTCATGCAGTCCTCCTGCACTGAAAGAGCTCAGCAGAATGCGTGGAGGCAAACAATGGCAGAGTCCAGGCAAGCGTTAAATGAACGCAATGAGAGGAGGGAGGAGCAGGCTGAGAGGAGGCAGGATGCAATTCTGAGGCTAATGGGGGAGCAAACTGACATGCTCAGGCATCTGGTGGAGCTGCAGGAAAGGCAGCAGGAGCACAGACCGCCACTGCAGCCCCTGTATAACTGCCTGCCCTCCTCCCCAAGTTCCATATCCTCCTCACCCAGATGCCCAAGAACGCGGGGGGCAGGCTACGGGTACCCAGCCACTCCACCCCAGAGGATTGCCCAAGCAACAGAAGGCTGGCATTCAATAAGTTTTGAACTGTAGTGTGGCCTTGTCCTTCCCTCCTCCCCTCATCCACCACCCCACCCAGTGCTTCCCTCCTCACCCACCCCTCCCGGGCTACCTTGCAAGTTTTCCCCCTATTTGTGTGATGAATTAATAAAGAATGCATGATTTTGAAACAATCATGACTTCATTGCCTCTGAAAGCAGTGATCGAAGGGAGGAGGTCAGTTGGCTTACAGGAAAGAGTCAACCAAGGAGAAACAAACAGAACTGTCACACTGTAGCCTGGCCAGTCATGAAACTGGTTTTCAAAGCTTCTCTGATGCGCAGCGCACCTTGCTGTACTTTTCCAACCGCCCTGATGTCGGGCTGCGCGTAATCAGCGGGCAGGCGATTTGCCTCAACCTCCCACCCCGCCATAAACGTCTCCCCCTTACTCTCACAGATATTGTGGAGCACACAGCAATCAGTAATAACAATGGGAATATTGGTTTCGCTAAGCTCTAACCCAGTCAGTAAACTGCACCAGCGTGCTTTTAAACATCCAAATGCACATTCTACCACCATTCTGCACTTGCTCAGCCTATAGTTGAACAGCTCCTGACTACTGTCCAGGGTGCCTGTGTATGACTTCATGAGCCATGGCATTAAGGGGTAGGGTAGGTCCCCAAGGATAACTATAGGCATTTCAACATCCCCAACAGTAATTTTCTGGTCAGGGAAGTAAGTTCCTTCCTGCAGCTGTTCAAACAGACCAGAGTTCTTGAAGATGCGAGCACCTTTCCTGGCCATCCCAATGTTGATGTCGGTGAAACGTTCCTTGTGATCCATCAGTGCTTGCAGCACCATTGAAAAGTACCCCTTGTGGTTTACCTCCTGGCTGCCAAGGTGGTCCGGTCCCAAGATAGGGATATGCGTTCCGTCTGTCGCCCCACCACAGTTAGGGAACCCCATTGCAGCAAAGCCATCCACTTTGACCTGCACATTTCCCAGAGTCACTACCCTTGATAGCAACAGCTCAGTGATTGTGTTGGCTACTTGGATCACAGCAGCCCCCATGATAGATTTACCCACTCCAAAGTGA